GAGGTCAGAGTGATGACTCGGAGGAGGGAGTGCAGGTGTCTTGGGGAGTGTGCGCTCCAGGCTGGTGCATGCTTGGAAGAGACGTGAATTGATTGCAGGGCCTGTCCCCGCGGGTTGCAGTGCCGGGAGCTGAGCTCCAGGGATGATGCACACAAGCCATGGCAACAAGTAGTTTGTCTGCTCCGATGCCGCGGGGGCGGGAGAGGCGCTCAGAAGACAGTGTGCTTGTGGGAAGGCCGCCGCGGCCCTTGTGCGCAGGCTGGAGGAGATCAGAGGCCAGCCCTGCTGCCGAGGTCTCGGGCCGCTCGGCCTCCGTGGCCTGGGGGCTCAGGCGGCTCCGTGTCAGCTGCCCCGCTCCGCCTGCTGGTGCCCACCCGCCTGCTGAGCCCTGTGTGCAGGCGGGAGTCCCGGCCCAGGAACGGGCGTTCAGAGAGAGGTCCTGAACCGGGGAGCCAGAGGGGCTGGCGGCAGAGTGGGGAGGGCGTCCGCCTCTGGGCAGGGGCATGATTACAAGCCTTGGCAGCTTCCAGAGCTCAGTGTGAGGCTGCGCGCAGGGTGCTGAGCCCAAGGTGCGAGGGTGCGAGGGCCTGGGAGCCCGGGACACATGCAGAGCTCAGTGAACAGGGTGTGTGTGTGTAGATGACTCCATAGGGCGGGGACTTGTTCCCTGAGTTTCTGTGACTTGAGCCAGGTGCCCCTGAAGAGGGCCGGCTGCAGTGTGCCCCCCGGCCCCATAACCCTGGGCTCGAAAGGAAACCCCGAGGCTTTTCCTCTTCTGCAAATGCAAGAACAACCGCATGTCCACCGAGGATTCAAGGCGGTGCCGTGTGTAGCCAAGTGCCCGCGAGCAGCCTGCTTGCTCAGCCTGCGGCTGTGGCAACCTCAGGACCAGTACTTGTCTTTTTCCAGGAGATGACGGGGACTGGAAGTTGGCAGTGAGGTCAGATGGTTGTGGTGGATCCTGGTGGTTCCCGAACCGGTGGTCTGTGAAGGCGTCTCCGACGTGATGAAGCCGCGTCAGGGCTCACAGCCCCGGGAGTGGTCGGCCCCCCAGCAGGGGCAGGGCTGTGTGGGGCGATGCCCCGGCGTACTCTGGATGGTGCTGGCTGCAGAGGCCGGATCGTGGGGGTGCTGGCCCCACACAACACTGCTTCACCACGGTGGGGAGCTGGGCGTGGCTTTGAAGTGAAATGTGTAGGCACGGGATGTTGGATAAATGAAATTTTCTTACAAAGGAATGAGAAAGACTAATCATAAAAGATTAATAAAAGGGGCTCTATTAAAGTTAGGAACTTGTCTTCATCAAAAGACATCATTAATGGGGAGAAAAGGCAAGGCAAGGGGGGAGGAGGAGACGCTCACAGAGGACTCACATGCAGACGATAGAATAGACACGTACAGTTGAGCACGGTCAAGGCGGGGGTGACCTCACGGAAATGGGGCCACGCTTGTACACGCATTGAGCAGCTGAGGACATGCAGCGGCACCTGTCAGTCTTCTGGGAAATGCAGATTAAAGCCACCGTCTAACAGAGACCTCGCAGGCCCACTGGGATGGCTGAGGTGAAGATGGACAGCACCAAGTGTTAGCCAGGATGTGGAACAGTGGGTGCTTGTGACTGCTTTCACTCTGGAAAATTCTGCAGGGGGTCTGTGAAAGGGAGGTGCAGCCAGGGGTCCCCCTCGTCGGTACATACCTGACGAGATGCATACCACGTGCCACAAAGGACAGGAACAGGAGTGTTTATAACAGAGGGTGGTGGCAACCCAAATGTCTGTCCACAGGATGGATTTTGTACGTGGGAACACGCGACGATGAAAATCAGTGACTCTTAACATGTTACAAGAATGAACGACTTTTTCAAATGTAATGTTTAAGCAGCCAGACAGAAAAAATGATTCCATTTATGTAAAGTTCAGAAATAGGCACAATTTACCCCAGTGTTAGCAGTTAGGGATCTAGCTCTAGGAAGGAGGTGAAGGACAGTGATTAGGAGGCTCCCGAGGGACCTTGAGATGCGGTCAGTTCGTGGTAATTCCGCACACATTTTGGGTGAGTGTATGCACACACACATTCTGTTTCAATACGTGTTTATTAAGAAGAAGCTTAACTCGTATGACCCAAATGAGTTAAAGCAAATGTGTGCGAGAGTGTAATTGATAACAGAATAGATGCTCATGGAAACACCTTCCGAAAAGAAAGGGAACAGAGGCACTCACACAACAGAAAAGCTGTGGCTGGATTCAGGCCCACCTCATCGTCAAGGCTGGCGACCCTCCGAGCTCAGTGCTCCTTCCCCTCGGCTCTTCACGGTGCACCTGCAGCCCGTGGTTCTCCCGCGTGGTCGCAGGGTGGCTGCCACAGCTCCAGTCTCTGCACATCCTCTTTTATTGGTATTATTATTAAAAGACTTATTTACTTATTAGAGAGAGAGAGCACGAGCATGTGTACACAAGCAGGAGGGGCAGAGGGAGAGAGAGAGAATCTCAAGCAGGCTCCCTGCTGAGTGCAGAGCCCGACGAGGGACTCGATCCCAGGACCTTGAGATCATGAACTGAGCCGAAATCAAGAGTCAGGTGCTCAACCAACTGAGCCACCCAGGCGCCCCGGATGTGGGGGAATTTTAAAAGGCAGAAGGTAACATATAGGATATATTTGTTCAGCCATTCACTTTCTTGCTCATACATAAATTCACTTAATAAAAATTTGACTGCCACGTGGCTAGCACACTGAGGGGCTGGTTCTGACGGAGTCTCTTGCCAGGTACTGCTGGAGCTTGGCGTGGCCAGCCTGCTTCTGGTGTCAGGCTGAGCCTCCTGAAGAAGAGTTATCATCAAAGAGACGCTTGAGGGATGAGCAGGAGGTAGCCAGGTCAAGCTTTAAAACATCTAGGGAAGAAACAAGGAAAGACTCTTTTTTATATAGAACAGAAGAAGCACTAAAAATAAAAGAAAAACTTTACAAGTTGGATATCATGGAAATTGAAAACTCCTGCTATTTGAGACAAAAAGGCCACAGATTAGTAGGAGAATATAATCGTAATATGTATATTATGTATCTAGATACAAAAATTCTGTCTAGAATAGAGAACCATAAAACTCACTAGAAGGACAAACAACTGGATTTAAAAAATGGGCAAAAGATTTGAACAGACACTTCACCAAAGAAGAGAAGCAGTGGCAGATGGGTGCGTGAGATGTTCCTCATTCATTTAGAGCCACTCAGTAGAATGGCTGATTGTTTTTTGAAGATTTTTTTTTAAAGAGATCTTATTTATTTATTTATTTATTTTTATGTTTTAAAGATTTTATTTATTTATTTGACAGAGAGAGAGTGAGAGCAGGAACACAAGCAGGGGGAGTGGGAGAGAGAGAAGCAGGCTTCCCGCTGGGCAGGGAGCCCGATGCGGGGCTCGATCCCAGGACTCCGGGATCATGACCTGAGCTGAAGGCAGATGCTTCACTGACTGAGCCACCCAGGTGCCCCTGTTAAGTGTCTCTTATGGTTTGCTTCCCTCTTTTTTCCCCCTTCCCATGTGTTCATCTGTTTTGTTTCCTGTTGGAAACATATTCCACATATAACTGAAATCATATGGTATTTGTCTATAAAGATTTTATTTTATTTTTTAAAGTAATCTCTACACCCAACATGGGGCTTGAACCGACAACCCCGAGATCAAGAGATGCATGCTCCCCAGACTGACCCAGCCAAGTACCCCCAGGATGGCTAATATCTGAAGGACAATACTAAGTGTCAGGGAAGGTGTGGAGCATTTGAGATTCTCATACGCTGCTAGTTGGAATGTGAAACCGTACGATCACTCTGGGGAAGGTCTGGCAGTTTCTTAGGAAGCGAAACATGCACCTGCACAGTGAGCCAGCAAGTCCATCCCTAGGTGTGGAACCATGAGAAATCAAAGTGCATAGCCATAAAACCCTCGTACAAGAATATTTATAACAAGCTTTATTCATAATAGCCCCAAACTAGCACCAGCCCCGATGGTCAGCAGCCAGGGCATGGCCCGGCAAAGTGCCCCATCCGTACCATGGAATACTGCTCCCTAAGCCAAGGAAGTAACTGCTGGCTCACACTTCAATTCAGATGAATCACAAAGACCGTGAGGCTGAGTGAAAACCAAGTGTGGGTCCCCAAATGGTTCCGTGAAGTTCTAGGCCAGGCCTCAGTGCTCCCTGGTGAGGGGGTGAGCGCCTCTCCAGGCTCTCCGGTTGCGAGTGTGGGGAGGGACTGCTGTGGGCACAGGGAGGGTTTTGGGGTGATAGAAATGCTCTGCCACTTCACTGGGGTAGCGGTTACACAGCTGTGTACCCCCATCCAGGGTCACGGAACTGTTGACTTAGAAGGGGCACATTTTATATGGGATATGTCAGTGTTGATTTAAAAGGAGAAACAAAGAAATAAAAAGCATGTAAAACACCAAGCAGTGTGGCCCTGAGTCTGGGCTCTTCATGACCACCCGGAGCTGCCCAGCCCTTCTGGGTTTGAGTTCACTTTATGCACTGGGGCTGCACTGCCAGGCGCCCAGCGGTCTCTGCAGAGAGGGGGACATTTGCCTAGGCGACAGTCTGTACATGTGTGCGTGTATGCGTATTACGTGCACACGTACGCGTACAGGCCTCTGTTGTGTGTACATGTGAGCATGCACACGCACACGTACGTTCTATTGTTGTCAGACCTGCAGACTTCTGAATCCTCTGAGGCACACGAGGCATTTAGAGAGCTGGGGGCTCCTCTCAGTCCTGCTCTGGAAGAGCGCAAAGGACCAGCCTGCCAGAGGCTCCGGTCTTACTCCCACCCTGTGGCCGTGAGTCCCTTGTGGTGTGTCTGAGCCTCAGAGGCCAGCCAGTTGATTTCCTTGATGTCTGTTTCTGTTTTCACAACTCGTTATGCTCCCCCGCATCCAGTTTCAGAATCCCATTTCAGAATGGTGAATCTAGCATTAACCACATACACTTTTTGTTTTTGTTCTTTTTCTCACACAGGGTTACCTTCCTGCCAATGTGGACCGAAGACCAGCCACTCTCCAGAGAAAACAGAAAGAATATTTTGCTTTTATTGAGCACTATTACAACTCTCGGAATGATGATGTTCACCAGGACACCTACAGGCAGGTGAGCTCCTCTCCCGTTTCATGTTATGTGAAGAACTTTAACTTGGTGATGATTGGTAGGAGGGAGTGTTCTCTCTAGCATGTCCCAAACTGCGTGACAGAGTAGTGTTTTCTAATAAATAAACTTGAGAATAAATAACAGTATGCTTCTAATAATAGTATTGTTGTAGCCATAATGATAGTATGCTTATCTCCGGCTCCTTCTATGAAAGTGAAAAGGGTTTTTTTAATTGGATTTACAAAACGGAAGCCTAAGATCCCTTGCCAGGACCAGGAGACCTGGCTCAGGAGCGGGGGACACCTTTTGGCTCAGTGAGCTGCTGTCTGACCTGAAAGCTCGGGAGCAGGCATTTGCTGCTGGGTCGATCAGAGGAGAGTCTCTGTGGGCTTCGTGGGCGCAGGGCCCCCTGGGGCACTGGGGGACGGGATTTGGATGGACAAGAGCTGTGCTCGTCAGCTGGATTTGGGGGCACACAGCTCAGTCCATAGCAACACGTGTGGCCACTTGATCGTTTGTGCTGTTCACTTTAATTCAAAATGGGTATCATTACGGCTTCTTGAACAGTCCATTGACAGACGGTGTCTATAATGGGAAAAGTACTTAAAATTGATTTACAGTTCACAATACATTCAGAATTTGCTATTAGAATAGCTTTTTGAGGGCTTTGTAGTTCTCACTGTCTTTGTAATATGTGAGAATTCAGAATGGTTTGTGCTGCATTCATTCATTCTCTTATTTTTGTGCTGCATTTAAATAAAAAGGTCGTTCTTAACTGGTAGCCCTGCCTCCTGTTTCTGAAATCAACTTCTGACTTTCCTGAGACTTGTCAGTACTGAATATTTCCTTTTGGAAATCCTTCTTCGAGGTGAAGGAGCCTTGCCGAATTTTTCTGCCTCAAATGTGGGCTGTCCACATCTCTCTGTCATTTCGGTATAGATCTGTTAGAAAGCTCCAAAGACAGGTCTTCCCTCTGACTGATAACCGGAGGTTCTTCAAGGTTAATGGATTCTGGGGGAATATCTTCCTCATGGATGGGGTACAGTGGAGCGTGGAGGATTGTCATGCTTGAGAGTGAGGACCCAGAAGAGGGCAGGAACTCACTTCTGTTGCCTCCTGGGGCGGGGCCCCTCTGCCTCGGGGCCCTCTGCCTCTGGCTCATACTCAGCCTCGCCTGAGTGGCTCCGAGGGCACGAGAAACTGATTTGAGAGAGGTTGCATTTAGATTTGGTTAGGGAAATATTAGGTTACCAGGTTTTTCTTTACACTTCACTAATTTTAGGGAATGGGCCAATTTGGCATTGTTTTGAATATGTTCCTCATGATTTTCATTCAAGAGAAAGACTTCCAAAGGATGATACCAGCATCTATCTATAAGAGTTACCAAGCTGTGTTCTATTATGAATTTCATAAGGGAAAGTTAATAAAAAATGGGTTACATGCATCTTTATTCAGTTACTATGATGGGTAATAAAAAGCTTCCATATTATTGCAAACTCCCAGAATGTGTCTACATTAATATAGCTGAGAACAACGCAGCCTGTGGCAGTTTGGTTGGCTTGCTGGCTTTGCAGACCCGCCTGCTGGAGGTGGACCCCGTCCTGTCTTTGCGGCTCCTGTCTCCGACACGCTGTTCTGTCCAGGCAGAGCCTGGGCTGGTCTGGGGCTCGGGCACCTGCTGTCTCCCTGCTGCCTGCTCCTGGTGGGTGCCCCGCCCTCCCGCACTGCCAGGAGGTGGCAGGAGCGCGGGGCCGCGGCCTGCTTTTACACCCCTCTGTGTCCTCTGTCCGTGTGCTTAGTGTCTGGTGGAAGACGTCATGCCCAGAGCACACCGAGTCGGTCAGATTCGAGATTCATCCGGTGTGTCCTCCCTAGGAGGGAGGAGTTCTGCAGCCGTCTGGGCCTCCCCTACATCTCAGCCCTGTACGTGGGGAGCAGGTGGCCTGGAGGGGTCCACAGAGCCCCTTGTGCCCAGCCTTGTGCAGCGCCCCCTCTCAGGTTGGACCTCCTCCTCCTGTTGGCACAGACCACGGTGGGCGGAGTTACGGTGTCTGCTGTCCTGGCCACTCAGAAAGCACATGATGGGCAGCTCTTGTGTAACGGGGGGCAGATGTGTGCCTGAGTACGATGGCATGAGGGCAGTGTTCTCAGGGTGGCCCTCGAGGATGCCCTGGTGCAGGGGGTGCGTCGGGCTGGAATCCTCGGGCCCCCTAGGCTGGATGGTTCACCCCTCCCTCCCAGCCCCGCTGCCCGCAGGCCTCCTTCGCACATCGGGTCGCACGCATGTCTCCGCTTCCTCAATCTTCCCCGGGTTGCTCAGAGGGCTTGGGGCTCATCGTTTCCTGTGTTGCTCTTGTCTGGCTCCTTACCTCTCATTTGCCTTCCCATTGTCCTTCATTGCTGCCCATGGACTGTGCTCCCCGAATGCTGAGTCCACTGGCCCCCAACTCCCTCCCGGTTCTCTCCCCTGGCTGGGTGCTGCTGAGGGGCTGCTGGTTTCCGGGTTCTCCCCTGAGGGAAGAGCCCCAGGCAGGAGCCCGTCAGTGGGGAAGCAGCCCCCACGCTGCAGAACGGTGTGGTTGGCGGGGGTCCCTAGGCTGTCGATCCACCTTGTGCTCTCTTCACCAGTCACCCTTTGAGGTATGGCAGGCACCTTCTAGACAAGGACGCCGAGCCGCAGGGCCTGAGTGCTGTAGCCAAGGCTGCAGCGCTAATAAGGCAGAGTGAGGACACTGTCCTGGTCCTGTGGATAGTAGGATCCTTGAGGTCACGTACGAAGACAGGGGGATGGACCTGAATCGTAGACTCCCTCTTGGCATTAAAATGTGCACGTCTTCCTTCAGCAGACCTTTCCCTGGGTGATGGGGATGGTGACCGTGTTGGCCAGTGGGAGATATTCGTGTGGGATATTGGGAGCCAGCCTGTGATGCCGGCTCAAGGCCTGAACGCTCTTACTCGGTTGCTGCTTGAATGGCAGGTGTTTTCCTGTGCAGAGTGGGGGCCTTCGTGATGACTCAGGTCAGTCGGGGGCCAAGTAGGGATCAGCTAACACCAGCAGAGGTTTTCAAGTGCTTCCTTTGAGAAGTGCCCTGGATCCCCACGGACTCTGTGAAGTGAAGAATGTGGCCTGGGTGCCACGAAGAAGCTGTCACCGCCGAGAACTTGTACACTATCGATGCCCCTGAAGTGCTCCCCGTGTCCGAGCCTGGAAATCGATGTTTACTAATTGCTATGGATTATGTTGCTGAAGAGCTGAGGGCCGCTCTCTTCCTAATCACGCAGCAGCAACTGTTTGGTCAGGAAGTGTCAGGCAAGCCTTCACGCTGGGACTTAGGGAGCCCCATTCAGGTAGAACTGGCCAACTCCTCTGGAGCCGAACTCGGTGACGTAAGGAATTCGTGTTTTCAGAGTGGGAGCAGCTTAGAGTCCAGAGTAAATTCATTGCTGTTGTTCAGGGTTGCTATTTTAAGCACATGCTTATAATGACATTTGTCATCTTGTAAAGTAATACATCTTTCTCCTGCATCTCCAGATCCATATAGACATCCCTCGAATGAGTCCAGAAGCATTAATACTTCAACCCAAAGTGACAGAGGTAAGAGCCGGGGATCTGGAAATGCCTGTGGGGAGGGTGTTTCCTCCGTCGCGGTGGCGGGTTCCCACGGAACTAGTGAGATGGTTGGTGCAGTTGGGGTGCTTACCCACCACAGGTTTGGGGGTAGCCCTTGTGAACATAGTCCCGGACAAGAATCGCAGATTGTTCTTAAAATATTTTGTGTGTAATATTGAGGCATATAAAGGATACGGGCGTGTGCAGATAGAGCGTACCCTCGTGTCCATCCCCACTGAGGACCGGGAACCCCACTCACGTTGGACCCATTGTGTTGGAGCTGCTCCCAGTTCTCACACTGCTCTCAAAGGGCCCCCAGGACATGACCGACCTCCTGACTCTGTGATTCCCCACGACCTCAGCGCATGTCGTGTGGTGTTGTGGTCAGTCCCTCTCCAGGAAGCAGTGGGGGCCGCATCCTTCCTCCAGTAGCCTTGTCCATCTGCAGCTTGTGGTTTTCTTCCGTGTTATGTTCTCAGATTCATCCAATCTTGTGTCCAGTTGTGTAACAATCCATCATTTAAATATCGCGCGCTCTCTGCGGCCCTTTTCCCGTTGCCGGATTTTTGGGTGGGGTCTCATGTTCTGTGCTCGGGACCTTCAGGCGCTTTCTCGCAGGTGCCCATGGGCAGGAGTTTCTCTGGGGCACTGCTGTAGACGTGAACTAGTTGTGTGCTGGGGTGTGAGCCTCCTGAACCCGCAGGATGGTGTCCGCTGCTCCCAGGTGGGCTGTGCTCCTCGAGAGCTCGCTTGCGGAGTGTGAGTGCCGTGCTCCACATCCCTGCCAGGACTTCCCACTTCGTATCCCTCTGGCGGGCATTCTTGTGGTGGCCTTCGTCTGCGTGTCTCTTGTTCCAGGTGGCAGCGAGCACCTCTTCCTGGATTTATGGGTTCCTGTCTTCCCTCCTCTGTGAGATGCTTGTTTCTGTCTTTTGCCCATTTTTCTTTTGGGTTGCTGATCTAATTTTTTATCGGCTGCTGGTCTTTGTATGTTAAGGATTCTAAATCTTTGTCATTTCGCGGGTCACACGCGTCCTCTTCCATGCCGTGGCTGCTTCTCACGTCCTTCTTGGCGGCTTTTGGGGACCAGAAGTTCCTTGTTTCCATGTGGTCGAGCTTCTCCATCTCTTCAGATGTTCCGTGCATCTGTCAGTGCCTGCTGTGCATGATGTGAGGTAGGACTCCAGGGAACTTGCCCATGAAGGGACCTGCCAGGCCCGGCCTCGTGCGTGGCCTCCACCTCGTCTGCCCGTGTTCGCAGCCTCCCTTCTGGTGTTCGTCCTCACACTTGTACACGTGTTTCCGTGGTCTCTGTTTTGGCCCAGGATTCAAGGTGTCTTCCCTCAACACCACACCGGCGAGTGAGTCCAGCTGTGTCCTGAGTGGCCCCGCGGGCGGAGCCCCAGCCCCCCCTTCGCTGGGAGGCCTCAGGCCCTCACACGCCCACCTGAGCCTCACGGTCAGATGGCCCCAGCTTCTCTGTGCCCCGTTGGTGTTTACTGTCTGCTGGTCGTGTGGTGGGAGCTGCACAGAGTCTGGAGACCAGTTTGGGAGGATGGACATCTTCATGAATCCCAGTCTCCCTTGTCACCAACGTGTGGATTCTCCATGTTCTAGGCCGTTTCAGTGTAGTTTTAGAATGTGCTCCATAAAAGGTCTTGTGTGTGTTTTATTAGATTCATTCTTAATTATCATATTTTTTGTTGCTATTATAAACAGTATCTCTTTAAAATGGATTTTTTTTTTTACCGTTTGAAGTATTTTCTTTGCATCTTGATTGCTCCCCTAAATGCACTTTTAAACTTTGCTGTCTCTTGTATGTTTGGTAAGTTTGTTGAACAAAAATCCTGGATGACGAGGGCGCCTGGGTGGCTCAGTTGGTTAAGCGACTGCCTTCGGCTCAGGTCGTGATCCTGGAGTCCCGGGATCGAGTCCCGCATCGGGCTCCCTGCTCAGCAGGGAGTCTGCTTCTCCCTCTGACCCTCCCCCCTCTCATGCCCTATCTCATTCTCTCTCTCAAATAAATAAATAAAATCTTTAAAAAAAAAAAATCCTGGATGACGAAAGCAAAAATACTTCTAGATTATAGAACACAAAAGGAGAAAATTAGTCTTCCACAGAAGTATTCATTTTGAGACACTTCTTTTTGATTGTCTTCTTCAGCAGTTGTACTTACTGTATCTGGGAAACAAGAGATAAGATATTGTTATCTCTTTTTTACTTATTTAATGGAAGGTGCAGTCAGCCATAGACCTTTGGTTTATTTCATTTTTATATTTTTCCCAACACTTGACACCTTCCTTGCAGAGCTGAGCTCACAGCCGCAGTTGGTGTTGATTGGTCTACTTGTCTCTGACGTCCTGGGACCTTGGTCCCATTGTTTTGAGGCGCCTCTTCCCTGGCAGCCGGTCTCTCTGTTAAACAGTTTCTTGCTCTGGGCTCGTGTGCGTCCCCTGGAGCTGCAGACCCTGCCTAGGCCCCCGCTCAGCAGGGCAGTGCTACCCAAGGGGCTGCTGGGCTCCCCGGGAGGACGTGGGGCTCAGGCAGGCTGCCACATGCAGGAGATGGCCATTTGGGCCCAGCTCTGGGTGTGCAGGGAGTGAGGTGATAAGCAAGGGGCTTTAGGAAAAGTATGGCCTTGTGATCGGCGGTAGGCAGACCCGGTTCTAGTTTCTGACGTTATGGAGGCTTGGCTCAGGGGTTTCTGCAACAGTCAGTTGGTGGCCTGACCACACAGAAGGGTGTTCCTGTCTCAGGCACAGGCTTCCTGGCCGTGGGGTGGCTGCTCCTCTGTGCTTGGCCTCCCCCTCATGGTCCCCGCTGGCCGCTCTGTCTAGCTCTCTGCATCACGTTTGTCTTTGAGCAGCATGAAGGACAACACGCACAGAGGGTCGTGCCCCTCCCTTTCCACCTGTTTTGTAGAAGTTGCTCGCAGTGCTTCTCACATCCCGCGGCCAGAACGGAGTCATGGCTTGTCCTTGGTGTATGGAACCGGGAAAATGTCACTCCGATTGTAGCTGGTCCGTGTGCCTCCCCGAAGGCTGGGGCTTCTGACTGCTCAGGAAGAAGGGTTTCGGCATTTCCCCCCATCCGTCCCCACGTTCCCTGATTCACTCAGCAGGCGAGGTCTGGTTCTGCTTTGGTGGTCCTTCTCCACCTCCCCCCGTCCTCTTCCTCCTGTGGCTTCACTGAGGTCTAGCGGACATAAAATAAAATTCACCTCTTTGAAGTGTGCAATTAGATTGGTTTGATACCTGTATGTAGCAATATGACAACCACCTGAATCGTGATCTAGAACATTTCCATCACCCTGAAAAGTTCCCTTTGCTGTCAGCCTCCCTTCCCCACCCCATGCCCCTGTGAAGTACTCATCCACTTTCAGTCTCTCGAGGTTTACTTTTTAAGATTGTCCTACAAATGGAATCACACGAATTGCAGCCTTGCCTGAGTGGCCTCTCTTGGTGCTCAGACACTCGTTCGCATTGTCACATGTCACTGCTAAGTGGGACTCTGTTGTCTGGGTGTATACCTCAGTGTGGTTACCCATTGGCCAGTACTCGATGAGTACTCGGGCTCTTCCCAAGTGGGGTCATCGCAGATTTGCTGTAAACCTTGTAGAGTGCTAGCGAAGGCCCCTGTGTCCCCTCTGTGCTGAGTACATGGCAGAAGGGTGCTTGTATGGGACGTGAATGTGCATCTGCTTCATGAGAAACTGACAACCTAGTTTCCACAGTGGCTGTCCCAGTCTGCACTCGCACCGGCAGGGCGTGAGAGTCTTGCTCCGTATCCTTGTCAGTACTCGGTATTGCCAGCCTTTTTAATTCTCGCCAGTTTTGAGCGGGTGTGTAATGTATCTATGGGGTTATAATTTGCAGTTCCCTGATGACTCATGATGTTGAGCATTTTTACAGATGCTGATTTGCCATGTGTAGATCTTTGATGATGTGTCTGTTCCATTTTTGCTCACTGTTGAATTGCTTTTCAGACCTTTTGCTTGGGGCTAGCTCACCCTGGAAATCCCTATTTTATGGAAGCTCAGCTAGATTTGGAGGCCTTGGGACTTGTTTAACTGCTGATAGGAAGGTCTTGAAATGAGCAGAGTGGATGGCGTAGGGCCGGATGGCCATCGCCCAGGCGCTCCCAGCCGGGAAGCAGAGGCTCAGCGGGAGCCCGTGGCCTTTGTCAGGAGGTTACCGCCCCTCCCCCAGGTTGAATGGGTCCCAGGAGGACAGCAGACCTTCAGCTCCAGGGCCTGAGGCAGCGTGTGTCCCGGAGCCGCTGTTCACAGCTAGTTGTCGATGAACAGCTGACCAGATGCCTATTTCTCTCACCTGTGACGAGTGAGTGTCTGGTTCCCTCTGGGCCTTCAGATCTTACTGGAAGGTGGTCTTGTCAGAGGCGCAGTCCCTGATGACCCTCTCGCAGCACTTCCTGTGGGATTGTGTGAGACTTTTTGTTTATGACACGACTCCCTCTTCCTGTTTGTCCGCTCCTGAGGGCCGGGCTGGGCCCTGGCTATGTCCTGGGTTCCTGGAGCATCTCCTGGAACCTCATGGGATTTAGGAGATTTTGCTGAAATTGATAATGTTTTTATCCAATGTTGTTGTCTGAAAGTAAAATTCATAACTTTCTGGCTCCCTGTTTTTTTGATTTTTTTTTTTTTAAATCTTTTGCTCAGTATTGAACAAACTAGATTTGTTACATTAAAAAAATATGAATTCGGACCAGTGGCCCTGTGGCTACTATGGTGGGTGCAGTGAGTTTATTACAAGAACCATATTCAAATATCGCTGCTGGGCCTTTTCTCCTGAGTTCATCATCTACTGAGTGACTTTGCCTCCATGGTTATTACATTTTCTGCCCTCTGGTTATCTGCTTCTTAGAGCAGTTTCACAAATTAGGGAAATGAGATGCTTTTTCCAATTAGCCATGCAGAAGTGATGTCTCATTACATTTAAACAGACACAGAGGATAATGAAACATGC